ATCAAAACCTAGTCCAACAGCGTATACGAAATTAAAAATTACACTCCAAATACTAAGTTCCAGGGCATGCTGCACCAACAACTGCCTGCAATGAGCATTATCCATCAGGACTTTTTATGGTCTCCAGTTTGAAGAGCAAAATTCTGTGGTGGGAGAGAACAGAAGGGGTTGCTGTTGCGGCTGTGGATGCTGCATGTATCCTTAAAGTAGTCATATGATTCTTTTGCAGATTTCATTGTAAGACTTAAAGAAATAGCACACTTCATTGTAAAACTTCAATGAAAATTTCTCCCTCTTACCATGGAGGCCAAGCATCCTTAGCTTCTGTGTCCATTTTGAGGCTATCTGGAAGAATAGAAAAAAACTAACCATATCATAATAGCTAATAAACTGCTTGATAGATTCACAAGTTAAGACTCAGGCTTGGTGAAGGATAGATCATAGTGAGTACCTCTGATAACAAACCACCCATCTCTGGCCAACTCCAAACCTGACCTCCATTCCATTCATTTAGCCAAAACTGCCACTTTTATCATAATCTGCTGGCTTTTCCTTCAGCCAGTATGGCCTGAAACTATAATCAGAGTGTCGCGTCATTATTTAAGCTTATTTCCTTCTTTCGTTCTTTCTTTCATTCATTTTTCCCGTTTGAGATGTTTAATGTGCACCTGGCTGCTGATTGGTGTGCCAGGACATATCATAGCAAATGCACGTTCGTGCATGCAAAAAACCCATCATAACCTAAGCATTCTTTACCTTTAGTTTGTGTGAGCACTGGCACCATTATATTACAATCGCCCTGGCCACGAAGGTGAAAAAACCAAACAAGAATAATCAAAGGATGCAATCCTTGGAGGAAGAGTTATGTTACAGTCACACCATGGATGCCATAAGTTAAAAAAGTGAAAAAAAGATGTAATTATTTACCTCAAGAATATACCTAGCTACACACACCTCATCACTAGCTGAAATGCCAACTGAGGGGTACCGTTCTAGAACATTAGAAAGCATTTTAAACAAAGTCAAACTTACAATCTGGAGGGCAAGGAATGAAGTCATCCATAATAACATCAGAACTGAAGATACCGTCTCTTTTCTTATCATGTTATAGGGGGTATAGATCTGGCATAGATCTTGTGTGTGTGTGTGTGACATACCTAGAAAATTGACAGTGAATGTAGTTTCATCTTTTTTGTTCTTCTCAATAATAATTCCTTCTCGCCAGCTTCAAATAAGTCGGCATTAGAATTGACCACAAGATTGACAAGGACAAAACCAAACATCAATTTTAGTCTGTTCATGGAAAAAAGAGTTCTCTTTCACAAGTCTCGACATATTTTTATATCACATAAAAGGGTCAAACTTAAAAGAAGATTTTCAGTCTTAAAATAAACCAGATAAGAACCCCCTCCAAAAAATAAGAACATTTTCATTTTTGGAAAAGTATGCCATATCTGCCATCAAAATTAGCTCTTTAGTTTAATTTCTAAAAGTACCACTTCATTCAATACTTATTCATCTTTATACTCTATGAAGTGTTTAACTCTCACTACAAGAAAACTGTCCTTTCGGGCAGAGGGAGTATCCAAGATGCAAACTTGTGGACATTCTTATACTAAAACTAGAAGAACATGGGTTCTCGCTTGAATGCCAAAAATCACTTTATTAAAATGCTTAGAGACAATAAGGATTTTCTCTGATGCAACTTACCTCATGTATCAAGATTGACTTCACAGTAGAAGCAAGATCAAGATGCAATGAAAGATAGCCCTATTGAAATGAAGAAAGTATTAAGTAAACAATGACTAAAATTTCCTTTTATTTTTTATTTTAATGAGAATTAAAATACATTAAGAAAATTAAAAAACAAACCTTGAAGTTTATTAATCCATCAACATTGTTAAACATAAATAACATTATCTGCACACACAAAAAAATACTCATGATAATATATCAGAGCAAATGAACATGAAAAAAGCACAAACTATTCAAAATATTTCAGTAGAGCAAAATCTTTAATTGCATATCACTGTATAGGATACATAGCCAACAAAAAACAAAACATCATCATCAATATTACTAGAGAGCGTTTAAGAATAATGAATGGTCACCAAGAGGAAAAGATATAAACCTGAGAGTCAGACAATTTACAGGCCTTAGGGTTGATTGAAAATTGGAACTAAGAAGCCAGAATCATCTCTGCCATCTAATGAACTAGAAATCACAAATCCGCTCTCAAAACCAGTACAAAATAATTTATTCGAAGTATAATTTATTCATGAATCTATTTGAAATCAAATTTCAAAATAATATCTTTACATGCACTCGAAGATGACGACTTAGAGGTAGGAAGTTGCTAGGCTTACTTTCTTTCTTAGCATTCAAGATGTTATTGTTGATTGTTGAATCATCTACTAGAGCTAATTGCAAACAAGTGAAACAACAAGTCAAGAACGATTGACAATGACAAACAATCACTAGAAGAAGTGGAAGCATGGATACTTTACCGACCGACATAATAAGGATTATGTTTTAATCCATATTTTTTATTTACTTGTAGCTTTTATGGAATATTAAAGGTGTTTTAATACTCGATAGCATTTGGGGTATAACAAATTAATACTCCGTAAAATAAAAAAGTGTCATGAGTTAGTCAAGTTTTGAGTAAAATATGGATCGGGTCATTTTTGGGAAAGTGTCATCAGTGGCTCTTGTCTTTGTAATGCATGTATCTTCTAACATTTTACAAAATTAAAAACTTTCATCATCAAATGTCTACCAAACACTGGAACTATATAATCTAAAAATGTATAGTATGAGTAAATTGCCAAACAGCAGGTAAATGGCCTGACCTAGCATCAAGGAAATTCAAAAATTATTAGCCAAACAGAACACTAAACCATACGAAGAGCAATACCAACCTGAAGCTTGCATAACCTAAACTTGCATAGATCCGTTGTAGCTTTCACCTTCTTGGCAAAAATAAATACTTTTAAGAAGTTATCTTTAATAAGGTCCTTACTCCGAAGTAGCATCTCTTTAAAAATAAATTAACTTCTTTTGCTAATAAATACTTTACAATCTCATTGCTAATGAAAAGAATATCAACTTCTTTTGACATACAAGAAAGAGTAGATCTTTTTCTACTAGAAGGTCCACTTTCATTTTCTTGTGTGACCAAAGGTGTGCACTTTCTTTTCAAGAAATTCTCCATCACTTTTTCTGAGTAAATAAACAAATTATACAAAGTAAAAGAGATAAATTTTTATTACGGGTTCCCATTTACAATTAAAAATAAAATAATTNTAGAGTGATAGAGGATGAGTCGATGAAGATAAGGAGTTGAGGCTGCACTGAAACCCTAAAGCATACTTGTATTTATATACGGAGTACTTTATTCCCAAAGATTATGGAGTAAATTGGGTATTCATTTTGTGTCTAAAAATATATCAATGTGTACAGTCATGTGTACAGTCAAGTGAAAATCCAACCCGTCATGAGAATTCCAATGTTTTATTCGTATCTTCATTTGGAGAACGAAATCCGAAAGGAAAAGAAAAGGACGAAGTGGTAATCAGTATGATTTAGCAAGAGATATCCACGTCATGTACAAGCAATTGGAGGTAAAGTAGCTTCTAGCACAAAATAGGAAAAATATGGTGGTACAGTCAAGTGAAAGTCCAACCCGTCATGAGAATTCCAATGTATATATATATCATATCATATGATGGCTGATTCTCTCTCTAAAAATCCGGCCACCGGAAAACCTCCGAAACTCTTAACCGACTATTCTCAGAGGTGGTTTCGGATGATTACAACGGAAAAAAACTGGAGGGTAAAGCAACTGGTTTCTTCAAAGGTATTCCCTCGGTTAGCTTCACACAGGAAGACATTGCGGAGCTCTCCTCCCGTTTTAAGCTCGCACTGGTGGCAAAGTTTCTGAGGCGTCCTTCTTTCACTTCCATGACCAAATTTCTGCAAAAATTGGGTCTCAGAGGTAGCTTTGATCTCACAGTTCTCTCACCCCACAGATTCCTGATCAATTTCCATGAAGAGGAGGATTATCTTTGTCTATTTCTTCGAAGGTCATGGCTGGTTTTTGGTTACACTATGACCCTGTCTAAATGGAGTCCCTCTCTCTCCCAAGAAATGGAAAATCCAGTCATGCCTATCTGGATTGCTTTTCCAGATCTCCCCATCCATCTTCATGATAAGAGAGCTCTCCATCTTATCTCCTCTTCCATAGGCACCCCTCTGAAAGTTGATTCCAACACTCTAAATTTCTCTCGGCCAGGCTTGGCAAGAAGTTGTGTGGAGGTGGATATCTCTAACCTCCCTCCGGCGAAGGTCCTCATTAATCATGGGGGAGAGGAGCTTATTTTCCCTTTCTACTACGAAAATGTTCCCCTTTTTTGTAAGACCTGCAAAAGAACAGGTCACACTATTGAGACCTGCGCTCACCGGAAAATCCCACCGGAGAAGGATAATCATAAGAGGGAGACATTTTCAGAAGGGTGCTAAGGACAACCAGGTACAGGCCAAAGAGGATAAAATTGCTGAACAATGGCAACAGGTTGTTTCCAAAAAGGGTAAGGACAAATTGCTAGGGGCAGGGAAGTTAGAGTGGCGGGCCAAACATGCACCAATTGTTCCTGCTTGGAAAGAAGGGCCAGGTGAGTCCTCCAATAGCCATGCAAAGCCTCCTGCTTCCCCCCAGGCCACCATTATTTTTCCTTATACAACTACAAATACAAATAAAGCAGACCATAAGAAGGTTGGGACCTACTCCATTTCAGACCCCTCTATCCTCTCAGCCTTCACCTTTACGTCATCTTCATGAAAACGTGGTTAGGGCTCCCATTTTGTATGAAGACCCAGATAAAACTGACAATAGCCTGGCCATAGTCCCCTTCGAAGGATTTGCTCTCCCAGAGGATGATGTACCAGACGTTGGTTTCTTCAAGGAGCCAGAAGATATTGACGATCAACTAAAACAACTGGATGCCTCCTCTCCAGGGAGGACTTCCCTCATTTAAAGGATTCTATCTCCCAGAGCCCCAAGGATTTCTGCTCTCGAACTAAGGCGAGGAGTCACCCTATGGTCACTAGACATATTTCTTCAAATAGATTCTCCCCATTGTTTTCCCCATGATTGGTCTTTTTTGGAATCTTAGAGGCATCCTCATCTCTCTCCCTCGTCTCTTACATCTTCTCAAAAATCACAACTTCCTTTTTCTCTCCCTTATTGAACCCATGGTTGATCGTGAGAAACTTGATTGGTACAAACTCAAGCTTGGTTTTTCTAAGGGTTTTTCTTCCCTTAATAATAAACTATGGTTCTTATGGAATGACCACCTTCTCAATCTTCAGGCAGTGATTGAGGATGAACAGATCCTCTCTTGCTGCTTTAATCATCTTGGCTCCTCCTCTTCACTCTGGATCTCTAGTGTTTATGGTAGGCACACCAGGGCTGATAGAGTTGGGCTTTGGAACTCTTTGAGAAACCTCCATCCTATTCAGGGCCCTTGGATCATTGGTGGGGACTTTAACACTGTGGCCTCCATTACTGAACACAAAGGGGCAGTCTGCCCTGGTAGTATGGATGATTTCAATAAGGCCATTGCTGATTGTGACCTTATCTCTCCTTCTTTTCTTGGTAGCCAATTTACTCTGTTTGGTAATAAGGGGAGAGGGAGAGTGTGTAGAAGACTTGATAGAATCCTTATCAATGAGGTTTGTTTGGATCTGTTTCACACTATTGAAGTTAAACACCTAGGAAGGGGGAACTCTGACCACAGGCCATTATTTTTAAA